GACCAACATGGGAAGCAGCGCTGCTTAACGACCGACCGATGGAGTGACCGATGGGTCCACCGGAACGACATGCCAAGTCATATATCAGCGCGGGAGATACGCTTCCAACAAAGGGGGTTGGCCGTTTGACGAGGCCTACGTATCCAGATACCGCACCAGAGGTGAGGTTCAGTACTAAGATCAACTTGGGCCTGCCTGGCTTGCTTTTGATACGGTCATCGTGTGGACAGAATCGATCTGAAAGACGCAGAGGAATCACGAGAAATGGCGCGTGGTCCGATCTCAAAGCATTTTGTGGCAAGCACCATTTAATGGCAAAAGGCCCATCCGTGTCACGGAAACGTCAGACTTCAAAGATGACCTGCAGAAGAATCAGTGGAGACAACAGTCACCACTATAGACCATCCAGCAGGTGCGCCCAATTCTTTTCTCGCCAGACCCAGTGAAAGCCAGTGCACCCCAGAGGACTCTCATCTCCAAACATGGGGACCCTCCCACCATGCCAGGCGCCAACGTGGACGTGCCTTGGAGCGAACGGTGACGTGCCCCGCAGCGTGCAGGGTGCGGGGAGATCCGGGATTGGCGACCATGGACAGCTCAACGGCCAGAGCTTCAACGTTGAGTGCCACTGGCCAGGGTTGGGGTTTTGGTTCCATTGTTGGTTGGATGATTGGTCCTTGTGAGCATGATCAAGGAGCCAAGGAAGCTGAGCAGTGCAGAAGCGTCATCCTTAGGTGCAAATGTGACTTTATGAAGTCAATCCTGTTACAGTAAGTCCGAAGCGCACTCACTACTGCGGAATTCTTATATTACCTTCATTTTGACCCGCCATGCACAAGCTTTCCCTCATGTCCACAAAACACGACGTTCAGTGCAGTAAAGCAGACACGTCCTCCCGTCCTCACTGTGCCCAGAGTCCCACCATTGCCTTTTCTGAGATCGTGTATGCTGTGCTGTTGTGACCACTGAACTGAACACTGGTTCTATGATTGTTTTAAACACGATGCGTAATCAATGCTACAAAACAACGGTGCTTCCATTTTTACATGTCCTCGGCAATGATGCCTTCGTTGCACTTCCTGGTGAGTAGCATGTCCTCGGCTTTGCCGTTGTATTCGAGGGGCTGTGTATGGCTAGGCCCCGCACGACCGGGAAACCCTTCACAGCCCAACTGCATCAGTTGGGCAGGAGAAAAAGACTGCCCAAATGGACTTGTTACTTGTGACATGAACATGATTAGCATCAACCTACCTAACTAGTTAGCACGGGGTCACTCATCCCAAATCCCATGATCCACAAATGCAAGAGCCAGGATGGTTTGATCGTTCGTGAGGCTGCAGGAAAAGTCAATGGCCTGAACATTCTCCGGAGCTGGAAACGCAAGGTGGCCCAGCAAGGCAGAGCCTTGATTGCTTTTGACAAGGGGGTAGTGTCTAGTGTTATGTCGTGTTGACGCCGGCTTAGTATATGAGCAGGACAAGGATCCCTCCTCATGGGTTAAACCACGATGAGTTGATGGGAACTCCTTCCATCTCCGTTCACATCGTTCCACCTCCACCGGTCTGCGCAAGCGTTGATTGACCGAACTGCACCGCTCTGAAGAGCACCGCCTGAACTGGTGGATATCGGGTTCAGGCCGCAAGTGGCGCATGTTGACGCATGTTGACCTTGCCGTTGACCTGGTTCGTTGGTGATTCATATGGATTCATCACAGAATGCCTCGGTGAAGTCCCAAACGGGCCGAAGACTTTTTGAGGTGAATACACCATCGAGAACATCTTGGAACAGCTTCGAAGGGTACGCCCGGCACCGAAAGTTGGGCAGAGGGATCGTGATCTTCTGGCAGCTTGGAGCTGCTTGGTTGGTGTACAGAGTCACACACAGTTCCAGAGAATGTTCTACTGATTCTACTGTACGTACGTTTTTTGCACACAAGCTTGCCCCGTGTAGAGATTCCAATTGGCAACAAGTGACAGGACTATCGGTTTCTCGAAACACTACCTAGTTAATCCAAACTACTGATATATTTAGCCAGGGTATTCCCTCTGCCATGGGACAGTGCGAAACCGCAGGTGAATTTGACCCATGGCAGCCCCTGCCCTGCCTTTTTTTGGCGTTTCTCAAAAGGTAGGAAAAAATGTAGACTCTTGGTCAATGAAAACCCTCTGCTTATCAACAGTCAAGAGTCTACCTTCTTGACGCTCCCAGAGTCCCAGAGCTCTCCTTTTTTCCCCACCCAAAACGGCCTAAATATGCCTGAATAATGATTAGTGCCATTCTGTGCGAGTGGAAAACTTGCCAGGAGATGACGTCCTCGAGTAACCGGAAGCTTCCTCAACCTGAGGAAGGCTCTAGTTGGGAAGCTCAAAATAGCTCGAAGGTCAAGTAAGTGAATCAAACAACGTTGGACGAGGGGAGGGTGAAAAGATGACGATTCCATTGGCGAGGATCTAGTGTTTATTACTATTTGCTTGTCTTGGTCTCATTAGCCTTCAAGGTTATGGAGCATATCGCTGGCTGGTGGCCTGAATGACATCATACTATGGTTGTGTTTGAGGAATTCCCTTGAACATGTTGAAATGGCGCGTGGCATAGCCTTCCTGCAGCACTGGAGGCGTTGAGATTGACCACTGTAGATGACAATTCCAGGCTTCCATACAAGACACTGAGGAGAATGGAAACGGACACCAAAATAAAGGTTCATGGGACACAAGTTCATGCAACACGATTCCTTTCAGGCGAAGGAAGAGTGCAGAAAGAGTCAAGTAAGATATGCTGACATAGACGCCACAGGCGTGCCGTTTGTAGAAAGTATAACCTAAGTCCCTGCAAATGATATGAGTTGATCGGGTGGCACGACCGGATTGTTTACGAAACTTATCTCGAGAATGGTGGATGTCCTCCTTCGACCGAGGCTACTGAGGGGCAAGATCAATTTTGAGTCAATTCGCTTAGCACGGGTGCCACCAGGGTTGGAGGGGCCCCGGGACCGGCACCCTGTGAGATAAACCGACCAAACTGCAGCAAACTGAAGAACATCGCTTGACATAGAGGGGTTGTATTTGGGGCTTGTATTTGTCTTATGTGCATCCATTCGCTTTCCAAAGACAGCTTGGTTCTTCCAGGATCTTGATCACACTCCTTTATATGAATCAAGAAAAACAGATGACGGGTAGAGAGAGAGAGAGAGAGAGGATGACATGCGTGCATGAGCTTTTTTGGTCGACACTTGCACGACGCTGACATTCCTGCACAACATCACATTGCAGGCTGAACCACGCTACAGCCAGTGCTGCATAGATTGGCTGCAGGAAATATGGTAAAAACATGAGAAAACATGTAGAAACCATGGCTTTAGGCCAACCGCTTCAGACGCAAGACCGGGTGCCGTGGGTACATCAGACCGCGCGCTTGGCGCTGGGATGGCACTCTTGGCGGCTAGTCTAGCAATCTTCCGTTCAGGCCCTGCGCCTGGTAAGGGTTCCATATGTTTTCATGATTTCTTGTTTTATGTGTGTTTTTTGTTTATGGAGTGTGGTGAGTGTGAATGTTGAGAGTCACAACGGCCGCGCAAGTCACTGGCCACCCCAGTCAATGGCTGCGCTCCGAAGACGGAGAGTTCCCTCCGGTTCCACGGTTTCACTGCCGAGATCCAACGACTCACGGCTCAGACCTTGGAATCTGCTGAAATAGGCTCCCACCCAAGGGAAGATAGATCGAAACTGCGCATGACCTGATGCACAGGAGTTCTATTGGTTTACCTCAAATACAGTGAAATACAGTAATTCTCCAAACTCGAAACCATCCAAAAGAGATCCGGAGCAACTTGCATGGGAGTTGGTATGGGACATGTCCACTTAGATTGGTGGAGTGGTTCTGTAAAAGGTGTGCTTGCGTGCCTAGGCAAATGTCAGCCTCTTTAACTCCGGAGCACATTAGCTACTTCAAAAACCCAGCCTATCTATATAAATAAGATTATGATCTAATCCAGTTTCTGATTGAGTTCTCTTTGCGCAGCACTTGTTCTCTCTTTGTCAGACTTATTTGTGTGGTGTACAACGACGATTTTCTCATCTTTCTCATCCACTCAAGTATCTCATGCCATCCAAACCACTTGCTACGACCCAAGACCTGAAACGACCAACCAGGTCGACTCCGACGCGAGCTCGGAGGCAAAGAGCCGCAAAAAAAAAGGCAACCGTTTCACTGAGGGAGGAAGGCTTGAGATTGACGGTGAAGAGCTTCTGACCACATGTTGGATATTGTATATAATTTTACAATGTTTTACATTGATTTACAATTGGTTCGCTTGCTTTGATTACGATTACTGTACAGCTTGCAGAGGCCTTTTGCTTGACATAATGCATCCCAGTCCATGAAGCCAACAGGTTGATTGGCTCGGTCTGGCCTTCACCTTCGGCCTTGAGCAAAGCCCAGCCACTTGGAGCTTCGGTTTCACAGTGAAACCGAATGAACCCGGGCGAAGGACCAAACTGCGGCTGGGGCGCGAAGTTGCACGCCCGTTGGGTGAAAAGGCGGTCGACAGCTGCAACAACGAGAGCTGGGGTCGCATGCTTCCTCGTTTTGCATCAGTGTGGGAAAGGATGGTAAAGGACCAGTTTGATGTGAGTACTTCAGAGAAGTCGTTTGTAAGCCAGAGTGTGAAAACCGCGTTGATGGCGCTTCAGTGAGGCAACCGAAGGAAAGCTCAGTGTCTCACGACCATCTGTCTCGCTATTCCGGCTGTTTGGGGTCACGGGGTCTTCACATAGTACCAAGTGTGTGAGATGACCCCAATGTATTGGGAATCTGGTGCTTCTCTCATTTTGAGATACCCAACAAAAGCTTTCACACCTTGAGATGTAGCCCGTCAGTGTGTGTTTGCCCGCCAAAAACGTGAAGGCCCTTCAACCGAAAGTGGTCAACTGATTCAGCACTGTTTCGTTCAGAACGGTGACTGACCCTGCGCCGGGTTCCCCGTCCTCGGCGTGGTGGAACAGGCGCTGCGGAGCGACGTGTTCCACGGCGAGTCGAAGGCCGCGGCCGAGCGGCTGCGGAAGTCGATGAAGGCGAAGCCAGGAGATGCGGGAGGATACGGGGAGACCAGTGGGGAGGGAGACCATAATGCCATAAAGGATTGAGGTGAGGTGAAATGAGTTGAGGTCATGAAATCACATGAAATCTAGAGAGAGCCAGTAGACTTTGGGAGTGACACCAAGCTAATTAGTTTGGGATGTGAAGTGTGGACTGATCTGATCACCTCTGCAGATTTACTCTTGAGCATTTTTGAGCATTTAAGATTCAGGGCTCTCTGGCAACGGATTATTCGAGAACATCTTATTAAACATTGTTTGAATTTGTACACATTGCAAAATCATGCAACATGACGTGAGCAACCAAAGTATGTATTTTTCAACCACCAGGAACTCAGCTCTGATCCACTTGATCAACACCCGATTCGATCCAGGGCGAGTGTATGCCTATGAGACCTGCAGTGGAGAGTTTCATGGACGAGGTGGGTTGACCGAGGTGTCGCGTGGGGGTGGCGCCGCACGGTACGAACAGAACGGTTTTGGGCTTTGGGTAGTAATTAGTTTGGGCATGATTGTGTAGAGTTGGTTTGAAACGAAAACTGATGTTGATGGTCATGAGTTGTCCAAAGTCTTAGAGGCAATGCTGTACCAGTATGGAAAGTTGTTATTTGATGTGCTCAAATGATATGGGTAACATTGGGCAACCACATTGCAGAGCAAAAGGACTTCTGCGCAGTAGATGAGGATGACCAAAAGGGCTTTTGCTTCTCCTAAAGGACGACTTGAGAGGTGAACCGTGTGAGGTTCGCCGTCCGCTTTGGTGAAGTCCTGACGTCCTGACTGTCGTGTCCCGACGTCCGAAACACTCGATGAATGGTTTCACGAATCCGTTCGACATGATCGGTCGACATCAGTTCCGCTTCCACTGGTTCTCACAAAAACAAAGCAGCAGGGTTTGTCGAAAGTCAAGGAACGCAAGTATCCCTACCACCCAAATGTGTGGTTTTTGCTGAACAGTGTTTTCTGTTGTTCACCGCTGGTTCTGCACCTATCGTGTGTAGTCAAGGATGGATTGATCTCTATACAAAAGGGCACTGCAACAGGGACTTTCCAGCGATTGTTGACTTATTCAGAGGTTGATTCCTTGCAGCTAATCAGTCAATACAGTTGAGATTTGGGATGCAGTCATGGGACCTGCGAGTGTTTGCTCTAGAATTAGATGTCACACGAACCATTAAGTTAAAGGCAGTTATTCTAGGCTGCTCTCAGCTTGAATACATACATGTGCTTGATTGCTGTTGAAAGGTGAGGACTAGGTTATGTATAAGTAAGTTAAAAGTGTGTTTGCACAGGTATCTGCGCAATCTTTGCGGGAAATGAGCAGGTGCTTCCCGCTTATGTCATGTCAGTGACAGAGAGGGAGAGAAGCACACATTCGTTGTGCCGGATTCATGAACATTCACATTCTGTGCCAAAAGATTCTGCAGACAGGAGACTTGTCATGACAGTACTCACCTGCACTGAGTCATTCTTGGTTCGAAAGGAAGCAAATAACACATTCGTGGATGTTGGTCCTTTGCGGAGCCAACTGTGACGTGTTTTCAGTTTCGATACTAAGATTATGTTGGCCAGTTAGCCAACTTCTATGGGAGTATGGGAAACAAAAAAAGTGCAGAAAAAGTGCGTGCATGAAAAGCAAACACAAAATAGCAACGTTCCAGAAAAGCAAAAAAAGAGCAAAAAAAAGAGCAAAAAAAAAGCAAACCAAAAAGCAACAAAGAACATTTTTTTGGATGCAAATTGGGCACGCTTTTTTTTGCACTTTTTTTGCACTTTTTTTTGCACTTTTTTTTGCACTTTTTTTGCTCTTTTTTTGCACTTTTTTCGCACTTTTTTCGCTTTTTTTCGAGGAAAGTGCAAAGTTTTGGCATTTCCAGAGCCACAAAAAAAGTGGGGAAAAAGTGGGGAAAAAGTGGGAGAACAAATTCCAGAGCAAAAAAGTTTGCTTTTTTCCCTTTTTTGTTTGCTTTTTTTTTACCCTTTTTTGTTTGCTTTTTTTTTGCACTTTTGTTTGCTTTTTTTCTGCTTTGTTTCTGCACTTCTTATCCAGACAGTTTTTCTTTCTGCTTTTTGGTTTTGCTATTTTTTTGCTTTTTTTCTGCACTTTTTCTTTTTCAATGATTCTTAGAACTTGGCTGTAAGTGGACAACATAATACTAAGAGTGTCTTTTTCGAGCTCACGGCCAAGCCCCGGAGTCCGTTCGAAATACCATGTGTCCAGGCTATTGGGTGAAGTGCGCTCAGAGGGTGCATCGACCTTGGAATCTTGGTAGCAGACAAAGACCATTGGGTTCTTGGCACGTGCTTGTGCGTCTGGTGTTCCCCCAACAGAGGCACACTCCAAGTTGTTTGAATATTTTGAACAAATCGCTGATGGCTGCAGACGTTAAAAGACCTTTCTGGGTCTTTGGCGACCACCGCCGCCCAGCGATCACCCGTTTCCGGGTTGCCCCCGCCGCGGGCCGCACGCGAAACAACGGGATGCAGGCCAACGCTTGTCGCAGCAGCGTGAGGGCAACCTTGAAACGAGAGGCGTTTGGTGGGCAGCCAAGGTGTCGTTCCATGCTTTGTTTAGATGGTGCTTCAGGTCTACTACGTAGTGAAGACTTTTTCAAAAGAGAAGGGTTCTTGGGGTGCTTGCAGGCCAAGAGGGTCTTCTTTCAATTTAGCTCTTAAAAGTGTGTTTCTGACGCCCTTCGCCTGGTAGGTTCTTTGCGATGGCTTCTGAACGTCCTCGGAAAACTGAAGCGTCAGGGGGCGCCACCGATACATGATACCCGATGCGATCGGTTCGACCGTCGTTTTGTGATCGGTTCGACCCCCCGGACCCAATCCGCCTGCGATGACGAGAGGACCCATGTGGGAGTCGAGTGGACAGAGGGGTGGGGGTGTCTCGCCGCGAGGTGCAAGCCTTTGAGTCAGAGCTGAAGCGCACGCCTGGGAACCTGAGTGATTGTGAAACCGCTTCTTCGTGACGTCCAAGAAAACCATACCAAGTGCAGAAGTACGGATTTTGCAGCAGTGGATGGTGTTCAACAACCAGGTAAGCCAAAGCCTCGACATGTTAAAAAATGTTAAAAAGACCACTCATGTTCCTTTAATGCACTTCGGTGGGACAGGCATGTTTTCACTTTGCAGGCATTGGTCAATCCAAGCCAATCCCACCCCCACCTACGCAGATCACTGGGCAGGTCCAAAAAGCCATCAGTGCGGATGCCTATTGACTTAGTCAGATTGAGCTGCACTTGGGGGATGCTCACCACTGCAGTAGCATAACGGTCATGGTCCGCGTGGTCGCGATCCTGCGTTTGACAGAACAAAGAAGGACATAAAAAGACAGGTGAAAGAAGCGGGACAGCGCGAACACTACAAGTATTTCCACGGCTGTCAATCAATCCGCTAGCTTGAGCGAACAGTGGCTCGAACCAGAGCTGAACATTTACTCTAAATAGGGTATTGACATGAACATACATGAACCTATCAGCGACTGGATTCGATGATCAGAATGTTCGTTGGTACTCGGGACCATTGTATGCCCTTCTTAACAGCTCAAGACATTTTGTGACCACGATCAATCCAAGAAAGTGCAAAGCACAAGCTTAGTACATGTCATGTATATACCCAGTGAGATGATGAATAATGAATTAGTATATCCCCCAGTGCATTTCCACTACAGAATGGGAGTGCTCGAGCCCCTATATAAATCAGTTTTTTATATAAAAATCGTGTCCCATGATGACCTCGTGTACTTGCATGTTGTAGTGATTTAAGTGTTTCGCTCAGAGACATTGAACAAATGTCACCAGCCACCATCATTTTGTAGTGACAATTTTTGGCATGAACATGATGACATCATTTGCTTGGGCGGACATTTTATAGTGGAGCCTTGCTTGGATCCAAGTCATACCAAATCCATTTTGTAGTGGAAGCCATTTCAAGTGTGTTGCAAAGAGCAAGGTTGCACGCTGTCATTTTGTAGAGGTGCCTTTTTGAACGATAGTCATTTTGTAGTGGAAGCACTTTTTGGTGAACAATGGCTGCATCCGGCAAAGATCCTTTTGGATCAGCTGACCCTATATTTTCATGATCCAAGACGAGTGCACTACAAAATGTTTTTCAGTGTTTTGTATTTTTTATTTGTTGAGAGGTTGAGGGTTGGGCCAGGCATTCTCTAGAGCAATTTCAGCTTGACTTGAAACAGACTCCCCATTTCTATCATCACTAGAGATATCTTCATTTTATGGATACCTTTTTGTTCCAGGTCCTACCATTTTGTAACACCAAACTCCGCGTCCCCACTTTTATAGCTATAGAATTGGGTGTCCAAGGTCACCCCGTTATGTACAGGGGGATATTAGTATGATATGCTGATATGCCTGGCTTTGCTCAGGGTGGGTGTTATTTTCCCTATGAGTGAATCCTTTTCTGGGGACTATTTTTTGTTACCCTTTCCGGGTTTCTTAAGCCAATGCAAGAATACCCTTGCTAACACCATTGGATGCAAACTGGAGCTTGCTTGGGTCCCTTGGGTACCCTGAACCCCCACCATTTCGGACCGAAAGAACAACAGCCGCCTCACAAGGCCAAGGAAGCTTTACTGAGGTGGGCCTTCCTCGCCCGGCGAAGTGGCTTGTTATCGTTGACACACCTAGAGACCTAGAGATCAACCTCCGTGACAAGTGTTGAAATGCACCGTATCCAACAAGCTTCTGGATTCTGGCTTGGCTTCACCAACAATTCTTTGACACACCTGTGCAGCCATGCCCATCAGGCGCCTGGAGCAAAAAGCCACGGTGGTCCACCGGGAGTTGGAGCTCGTCGACCAGGAGCTGCGCGCTGCAGGCGGCTTTGATTTGGGAGTTGGATGGCAAAGCGCAAGCGTTTTTTATAATAAGATGAACTCGCACGGAAGCTGACCAAATTGGGTGTAGTGAATTAGTGCCCTGTTTCATACGAGGAGTGGACTGGCAACTTGGCAATGCCTAGACTCCTAGACTCGGCCTAGACTCTCAACCGGGGTGGGACGTTCGCAACACTCGTGAACTTGCCCGGTTCCGATCCCGTGGAACATTGGACCAGCTGGTGCGGGGGTGGCCCATGGTGACCCAGTGGAAAAACCGTCATCGGTCGTCCAGGGACAACCAGCTGCTCCCGTTGCCTCCGAACCATAAGAATTGGACACCAAGAGGTTAGAGTTTCCAATTCCTGATGATGTTAATGATTCTCAATGTCATCCTTAAGCCCTACTGTGGCCACAACTGTTGATTGTTTGCGTTTTTTTGGATTCCAACCCTTCGTGCCGAAGTGACGATGGTTCCCATTCTTCGGGTCATCGCTTCGTCTGAGTTCGTCCCGCCAGGCGAAGTCCTTGGGCGCCGCCGTGCGCGAGGTGGCTGCGTTGGGGTTGGGGTTGGGGTCTTGGGGTGTTTGAAGTGGTGACGGATGTAAAAGTACATCCTGAGAGCATACACGGGCATTATACAGTATACTCAATACTAAAGTACAATCCTTGGACATTCTTAGTGGGAAGAATCTGGCCTCATCATCAATAGAAACAAGATTGCATGACCATGGCAAGCTGACACCACAAAAGTACGCAAGACGCACAGAAGACCTAACGAGAATCCATCATCTCGAAAACTTGTGATGACAACAGCTTCGAAGACCTGAAGAGTACATAGGCGGAAGTGCATCAGTCTTTCAAGGTGTCTTGTGTTTCGCTCAATCGTTTCTTTCAACTCAGAGATGTTCTGGCCTTTTGCTCTTGCTCTTTGTTCCACCTGGTCGGACGCCTCCGTCCTGAGTCCTGCCGGTGCACCTTGCTACCAAGGTAGCAACACGTAGCAAGGCAACATTTGCCTAGAAGATGTATGAAGATGTCCCAAGAGATTTCTGAAGCATGGTGATCAGTGCCGTTCATCCTCTTCCACTGAACCTGATCGGTCTTAATCATCGGCGCTGCCCTTGACCCCGACCTTTGAGCGCATACTGGGCATGTGCGTCGCCAGATCCTGGCCCATGAGATGCGGTCGGGCCTGACCCTGCCAGGCCAATGAGCAACTTCACTTGAGGTCAACGGCCAAAGGCCGCCGAAGGCCGGGAGTCGCGTGGAGTCGTTGGCCGGGAGATGGACGCGGACCGGATGGACCGGGGGGATGATGGGTGTGTTCTTCCCCAGGCACCTCGGTCTGTGGAGGTCGCAGAAATGCTGGAAAGAAAACTGTTTACTGTATGTCCTTTCCAATTCAACGATGGTTTTCTCAGAAATACTACAGTATGGTGATTTTCCTTGGCCATGGACAACCGTGAAAGCGTGTCCAGCTTGGTGCTCATCATGGATGAACAAAATAAAGTAAGTATCCAATATTTCGGAAACGTGTTGTCCCAATTGCCTTCCGTTTTTTCATCCGCCAAGATAGCACCTTCCCAAACGCCGGCCTCGAGGACGAGGCGCCTCCATCGAGGACGAGGAGGAATGAGTGTCCGACGCATGCGACGCATGCGACGGTCCGACGACGTCGACCGGGGGGACCGACCGAAGGACTCACCGACCGTGTCGGCGGGTGGGTGGAAAGGGTGGCAGAAAAAAGAGAAAACAAAAACAACATGACCATGGCACCCCCAGCATAATGAACAACAACAACAGCAGCCATGGCACCCCCAACAACTACAACGTGTTTTGTTGGTACTGGCTAAGCTTTTGTAGTGTGCATCTACAGTAAATCTAAACACACATATTGAGCCTTGCATGTTTTGGGATGTTTTTTTCCGCAAGCCAGGGGTCTTGGGGCTCCAGATCAGTGACAGTGAGATGAGCTGATTGAACGCATTCGGGGACATTATCTCGCATAGGGAGTTGTGGCTCGCAGGTACATGTTGTAGAGAGGCGAGTAAGTAAGGAAGACGTTCACGCATGTATATCTTACAGAATTAACACCAGCTGATCACGGCTTATCATGTTCCCGGTCAGTGGTATTTTTGAAGTGGGGAAGACGAGTGGAGAGTGGATTTGAGACGCGCAAGTTTTCTGGTTCCCAGATCAGTGCTCCTTCAGAAGTACAAGAAACAGGACGCGGACCAGCAGATGTTCCAATGAAGGCGTCCCAAACCCGCAAGTCTTACAACCTTGGCCAATGGATGGTCAAATGTCCCTCTCCGATTCCTCTCCTCTCGCACCATCTCAATCTCCAACATTCAATAGCGTTGAAATCCTTTCGTGGAAGAAAAGACGTCCTGGACTTGGGGAAACTAAAATCATCCCTGTGCATCACCCCTGCAAACATTCATCGGGTTCTGTGCCAAGAGCTTGCCTCGGGTGCTGGCCAGAGCGACTGGCCGCCACGAGTGCCGGCATGGGGCTTGACCCTGAGAAGCCGTTCATGGTTGAGGCACTTGCCACTGGCCTGAAACAAGACTGGTTGCACGGGTTCCATTTCAGCGATAGAGTAAGAACACCCCTGTGCTCAAGAGTTTTGTCTCAGTCCCTAACAATACTGTTGAACACATTAAACATGCCCTGTTCATTGTAAAACTGTAAAAAGAACAGTACAGACATGATGTTACTTCGAAGCTTGTTTGATATTCGTTGTTTGGATGGAATGAGAGGAGAAGCTTCAAAGACATGCCAGGCACATGTGTTGTGTTTGAGTACATAACCTGAAGAATACATAAGAATATATACCAGGATTCACACGGGAACATAGTGGCCAATGCAAACCTAAGAAACCCCACTTGAGTTGGAAAAGATATACCCAGCAATATGTTTTAAGTAAGGAAGGTTCCCAGAGGTTCAGAAATAGCAAAGCTTTGGCCACCGCTAGGTATTCTGTTGCTTAACTTGGAGATGCTACCTTGTAGCTCTAGCAAAACGCAGAGTTGCGCCAGGTTTGCGCTAGGTTCAAGTACTTAGGTAAGATTAACAAACAACACATGCATACAGACATTGGCAAATACACTTGTTGAGGTATGAACGGACAACCTGTGGGACAAAGCATTCTTTAGCCGAATTCATCTTTGTTTGTGTCTGGACACAGCCATTTTGGCTGTAATTGGTTCATGTACTGCCCTGCACTTAACAAAGTCAAAAATCCACTTCCCTGATGTTTAACATGTTTTTAAATCTCCCTAGAGAAGGCTGGGGAGTCTGGCCTGAACCCCCCAAACATAGGGCACCCCGTGAAGCCACAGCTTTCTGTTTTTAGGACCCGTTGTGATTCTGTAGGGCATGGAACAATCATGTGCTCTTAGTACCATCCGTACAAAATGAATCTTTGTCTACACATCCAAGCAAGTATATGATTCTCTAGAACATTTAGAAAATCAAGTCTCTGACCCCTGTTTGGACTCCCCGGGGGGTGACATGTTTTTTTCTTGCTGGTCACCCTGATAGGGAAGTAGGAAGCTGCACTTAAGGAAATCAGTGCAGTAAGGGGAGGGCATGCCATACCCCCCCCTTAGGGAGGTCGGTAGCGCTACCGAGCTCAGTAAGCCCATGGCTCTCAATCAATGGGGCATGGTTTTTGCATTGATTTAAGCATCCCCGAATTATTTTCACCTGCACTTAAGAAAATCACATGGAGGCTCACTGCAGTCGGTAGCGCTACCGACTGCACTAAGGGGAGGGCGTACCAAGCCCTGTCACTACTGAGGTGATTTCCTTAATTGCGGCTATGAAACTTGTTGAACAGGTGAATTATTTTCAATTCTAAGTTCGAACTGGGGGAGATGGTCCTCTATCAAAGGAGAGAGTAGGAGAGAGAGGGGCATGAAGCCTGGCTGCCTGACCGATTTTTCATTCACCAACCAGAAGTGAACTTTATGGCTACAGGACCGTTTGGCTGCATGACAGATCTCCGGTTTGGCTGGATGAGGGTCTCCTTTGCCTTACCCTTGCCCACGGGCAGGTTAACCCACCTTTTTTATTCAGGTTTTAATGTTGTTTATTTATTGATTTTATTAGATTCATCATTGAGTACTTCCGAGCTGCGGTCCCAGCAGCAATTATTTTTAAATGCAGAAATTAATTTTTGACATCTTTAGTGTAAGCAGGGGACACCGACACCCATCCATTACGGGCATATTCCCATTGCGCTTCGATTCTTCGTGCATGGAAGGTTGTATAGTATTATATAGCTATATTTCAAAGCTAGGAAAGCCAGCAGACCGCAAAGCGTGCTCTTGACCACAGCCGTTTGGTGGCCTGAGGCAATAGCAAAAAAGCGCGCTAGATCCGTGCTAGATGCGCGCTAGACCACTTTGCCAACTTTGACCACTTGCCCAACTGCTTTCCAGGGCTACTACTCAATACACTAGAGACATACACACAAGCGGATTGCCTGCACGACGCCGCGCTGGGGTGCTGGGGTGGGGTGCTTTGTATGCACGAATTAAGAGAAGAATGATAGGAAGATCATCTATCATATCTTGACAACTTCTTCTGGGTGTAAGAGGGCTGCTACTTTCTGCTTCACAATTGGAGCCGCTTGACCAGTGAGTAACAATGCAGCTGTCCAAGGAGCACGCGAAACATACAACCATACACAGATATAGACATGAGCAGATGTTGTGTACATGAAAGCCACCGCTGGGAATTGTTGTTGTGATTTGAATTATGGTGTTTTTAACGGGTTATTTTTCAGCTCGACTTGATCCCCAAAGCATCACAAGATCTAGCAAACGACAACGTGTTGTTAGCATCATCTAGGGGCTGTTCTGAGTAGATCCAAAAGCACGGAGATGGTGGGGAGAGGACATGCAACGCTGCAAAAGGTCGGGGGAATTCAATAGAGGCCTTCGCACATGTCCCTTGCGGCCCAGGGCCCAGGGTATTACCGACTTTTTCAACCATCCCGTGCAGTATCTATTATATACTATAAATCACATCATGTTCTGCTTGTTGGCCGGTGACGAGGGTGAAGCCTCGTGGCCCTTTTTTCCGAAGATCGAAGTCCCCGGCATATGCGGCTGGGCTCAACTAAGGCCACGCGAATCGTCACACGGCGTTTTGGCCCTGGTGGTCCATGATGGGGCGTGGAAGTGAACCAGGCGAAGATCCCCAGGATGTTCAGGGTTTCTACTCCTGGCTCATTGATTGCCAGGCAAACTCTTTGGAGCTGTCACTTGCTGCATGACTCTGCGCGAGGTTCCGAGTTCTTTTCACTCACCTTCGGCTGAGCCTCTCATGAGGTGTTTTTCCTTCAGCTGGGTTCCACAGCTGCCCAGAAACGCTCCGAAAGCGGAGTGGCTGCGGTGGCGGTCCATGTTTTCTGCCTCATTGCTTCAATCGGTCGATGAGGGCTCTTGTTGAAGTTCCTCTTTGAGCATCCACCTAAACCATTTCAGTTCCGTCGCCACCTTGGTTAGGCTGTCGTTGAAGCACCGTGGAACCTTGGCCAACACTGAAGACTTCCAGCTCAAGTTCGCTCGGATGTTTCTTCGTGGCTGAGTAGAAGCGATCATGGCGATTTGCCTTGGATCTTGCACTAGAAACTAAACCTCTCCTGGCCTGAAATGCACCCTTGGTTTCCTAGAGCAATCCCCCAACTACCCTTGGGCTAGCTGCTCTAGCTGCTCTTCTCACATGAGATCAGTGCTCTCCCCTTGCGGGGGGAGCTTCGAAAGCAGCGGTGTTTGGGGACGCAGGTCCTGAAGCTGTTCCTGCCCCAGACCTTCCATAGGTGAGCAGCGTCAAAAACCTTGATTTATTTGTATATAAGGGATTTATCCTGGTGTTGTTCCTCTTGCCTGGTAAGAGTTTTTGCACATCATCATCCATAATACCAGCATATGCCAACCACAAAACTTGGAGCAAGTCTCCAAAAGATCGAAAGTTGAACTCGCACGGGCCCCAGCATAAGAACTTATAAAGATGAAAGGTTCGGTTTCAGTACTGTTGTCCCAAGATTGTCGTTCTTCGAGCCACCAACAATCTCATCAATCTCTTTATTTGAGTAGCAATGGTTGTATAGAACCTACGCAAACACCAAAGTGCAACTGAAGACTTGAGCTACTGCCTGTGGATCATGATGGCACAGGTCGCAAGGAGCTGCAGTTGTGATGCCTTTCTGAGTCTCCGTTGACGGTTGGAAGAGCAACCGTCTCCTTTGGTCCTCAGACGTTGGATGGCAAAGTGTCACAAGAGCTACAGTAAGTTGCGTATACATAATATAGGCACCTTCCCTTAGCTACCTTAGCCCTCCGACCTATCTCACCCAACTAGCCCAAATGAAAAAGTTGAGGTGAACTTGTTTGGCTGTCCATGAGGGCAACCACCCGAGCGATAGCAGATAGTGTGTGACTTTGATCCAGTCTTGATATCCGAGCTGAACCGATGTTTTGCTGGATGTTGCCGGTTTGAAGAAAGAAATAGCCAACACTCATCCAAGTGTCTTTGAGTTGCTTTTCTTCAAAGAATTGCTTCATGTCAACTTCTGGGATATGTACTACAAGTCGGCTAGTCTGGCCAGCACCGCATTCTTGCACTTCTCATCGCTTCCCGCACATCAGTTTTTGTTCAACCCTTCGAACAAAGTTGGCCTGCGCATTCAGGAGCCGAACAAGGAATGTGGTGAATTGTCCAGCGGACAACTGTGTAAGTCACAATCTCAACCACCGCAATCTAGAAAAACATAACACGACGTCTCCTCAAATGCGCTGTTTCTAGCTACTGCCTGTGCATTATGATGGCACAGTCGCTCATGGTGGCAGGTCGCAAGGAGCTGCAGTTGTGATGCCTTTCTGAGACTCCGTTGACGGTTGGAAGAGCAACCGTCTCCTTTGGTCCTCAAACAGATTGCTACAGCAAGTTGAGCATACATACATATAGGAACCTTCGCTTAGCTACCTTAGCCCTCCAAAAGCCTGTAGCCCAAATGAGAAAGTTTCAAGAATATAATATAGTCCATAGAGGTTTTAACAGAGCCATGGCCTGTAGTGTGTGACTCTGATTGAGTCTTCATCTCCGAGCTTCGGATGGCGCGGACAAGCCCACCGGGTCTTGTTGGGTCGTCACTGTTTTCACTGCACCGATGCGACATCCTTTTGTGTTGGTACGCAGAGAAGGACTCCTTCTCCAAAGTTCACGCCTTCTTGCGACGCTCAGCTTTGTCCATGCGAACTTCTGGGGGTTGCATTACCAGCTGGTCTTCCTGTCACACCCAGAAGCTTCCACCAACCTCACATGCGGCCACCACAAACTCTGGACCTCTTTGTGGTCATTTTACAACCTCTGGATTTGTCAGATCGTCTACTCTTCTTGAGAGGAGAAGATTTCAGAGGACCTTTCCTGAAATGCTGGTGGCCCATGTCAGGTGAGCTGGTCAGCGATCAGACTGTGCACTGGGCTTCTTTGTCACCGCTTGGAAGCCTTCGTCAGGTGACCGAGACAGGCAGCCACTACAGTTCGGTTTGCTCCCCGACACAAAGCCCTGGGACGATGGGACGATGGAAGCGAGTGGCGCTTCACTTCGCCAGAGAGAAAACCAGAAAGTTGATTTAAGCTGATGAAGATCAAGGCCAATCTTTTCTCAAAAGTGCACAAGATCTTGACCCACCAATCATAACCTTCCCGCTTTTTGCCAAGCAAATATGTCTTAGGATTTGCGTTATTCGCCCAACCGCGTGGTCATAACGGGTTGCCCGTGAGCGGGCCACATGGCCGTGCGCGAGGTCGCGGCCGCCGTTCGCTGACCCTGGGCTTCGACAAGAAGTTGAGTCTTGAGGGGAGAGGAGTTGTCCTGGAGCTTCGTCTCGTGAAGGAAGATCTTCTGACGCTTTTGAACGGACGGACACAGCGCGTGCTGAGATGAGCTGGCGATGAGACGCACACAGAGGAACCAGCAAACCGGGAATTCAAGACTGTAGGGCTGTTGGGCGACCCGGTGCATGGACGATGTGGCTTGCTCGTTCCTAAGAACGCGGTGTGATTGAATAGCCAACGACCTGGAAATTAGAAAGTAGATGAACACCAATGATTTGCCGTGCCCCTTTTATGTTGAGACCGGTATTGAGAGGGACTGTGCCATTTGACGCTGCCCAATTTTATGTATAATTGTATAGGCTGTATAGGATTCTAATTAGCCTTGCTGTGAGATTTGATGGATTCTGTGAGGAGATTACAGCTGTGGCATGCCCAATTAAGCACCCTAATACTCAAAACCTCCTGTTGTAGCAGATAAACCGCTTTGATACCTTTTGAGTGGTGCCCATGAGCTGCCAATCCCTCAGGCAGCTAGTGCAGTTCGAGCAGGGGAAGGTTCACCAGCAGGTGGACAACGACAATCCTTGACCTAAGGTCTGTTCTATGCTCCACAGGCCACCATGGGAGGCAATGAGTTCAAAATAAACCCCGGTAGTTGCTATAAGTCCATATCGGAATCCTTGGGCAAAACATGTCAGCCTTGCGTACACCTGCAAGATCATGCAATGTCTTTTTTCTGAAGGTTCACTAACGCAGGCAGATTGACCAAATCTAGGAGTGGCCTGCATGTGGACCTCCGTGTGTGCTCGTGCCCTCGTGCCACACCGACTTGGACAGGGCGCGAACTCACAATGTTTGGAATCGAGCTTGAGGGGTCTTTGCCTTTCGCTGGTTCCGTGTTGGTCGTTGGGGTCATGACGGTCATTTCCGTCCTCCGCTTCTGGCTTCGCCGATCGGTGCAGTCATGTACAATGCCATAGCCAGGACTCTGGGATAGTCTTCTGTTACATCGAAGGGTCATGGCTCCCTTGTGTTGAACACTTTTCAGCTGTGTTGTACCAAGAGGATCCACGAGGGTAGTTGTCCCAAGTGGTCCAGAAAGAATCTTGAAGGGAACACGTTCAATTTGAAGCACCTGAAGCGAACCGGGCCGCAGAGAACCGAAAGCCATGTCTTCCTGACACCGGTAAGCAGGTGCACCGGCTGAAAGGGCCATGGTCGACCTTGGAAGCTCCGACCCTCTAGTTGGCAGGCCTTCTTCCCAGCTGAGCTGTCGCTGCTTGAGACTCGCACTGGCAGTTCAGCCGGAAGTCAGCCGGAAAGAGAGAATGGGACGCAGTTTCGCCGTCCATGAAGTTTTTCAGCCCGGCAATCTGGTTGATATCTTGTAATACCTCGGTAGGCCCTTCTAGCTGGTCGATGGTGCCCATGTCAAGGGACTTAAACGCAAGAGTATGCAGAGCTTATCACCTGTGACCATAGTGACCAGTCGTGACCGGGAACTCCTTTTGCTCGATTCCTTGGGGCTCACCACTGCACCACCGGTGGAACCAACGAGAGCTGCACCTAGCGCCAACCGGATCGGACGGCACCGTACCCGCTGCACTCCGGTCCCAGAGACCCGTCGTGACCGGGTCAGGTGGTTGAGTCCAGCACCAAGCCCTCATATGTTTGTGTTTATCATTTTACATCCAAACACATGACTCCCGGCTCCCTGCCTTCCAAGAATTTTGAGAGAGCTTTGATCTTTCAGTTGCTTCAGTTACTCGTTTGTTTTTGAACTTTGCAGACTGCAGCGACAAGAAGGGCTGCGACATGGTTCGATCAATATCACATGTATCGCACCTTTGCAATTTGCCTGTCAGTGAGTCGCAGCATGTACTGTACAGGTAGGTGACACCAATCAAATCAAAAACAGTAAACATGCCAGGACCTCGCAAGGTGGTTTTGCAAACGTTGGTCTCAAAGTTCGATCCGTGGCATTCAGTGCTTGCAACCCAGCTTCCGCAAGCACATGCTAAGAGGGATGGAGAGGCATCAGGCTGACTGTAGTCTGGAGCTTCGGCAGTACAAGCCAAGTGCGGCTGCTTGGGCCGTCTCGCACGGCTGGGCCTTGCTGAAGCGAAGCTTTGTTCGCTTGAAGGTCCTGCTCAGCCTCCTCGCCGACCGACCGCAGGTCCAAAGCTTCCGTCAGACTTGAAAAGGCCATGCGAAGTCGGAAGAAGGGATGGGCAAGGCATGTGGCACACACATTGACATGTGGCACGCACCCTTTGGGCAGACTGGGCATCAGATGACGAGTAGAGAGTGATGTCCTGGGCTGACTTGGCATCAGCCCAGCATAGCCCAGCTATCTCTGCGGGACAGAATTGTGTTTAGCACGCTGTTCGTCGAGATGAGAAGAACTGGGCGGTCTTCGGATGCCAGACATACCCCTGGACGTTCATTTTGAAGCATGATTGGCGCAGGTATGCCTCACAATCTCTGAAAGGGAACGGAGTCTGACCCCTTGCCTTGCTTGTGAAAAGTATCCATATGTTTCAGCCTCGGCTGCATGGAGCCTCAATCAGATGCGTTTGAGCCTCCTTCCGACAACCTCGAAGTGGCTGTTCCACTACGTGCTGCCTACCATGAGCTTTGGGCAGAGTAGAATGAAAAGCTCATCTCCCTTTGCCCGGATGAGTTGGAAGAGTTGCTTCTAGAAAGCCTGCATGTGTGTCCAAACGCCTAAAACCATCTAAAACCCACGTGTTAGCACAAGGACCAGGCTTCGCTAACGCTTGTGACACCCATACGCACATATCCTAGCGCTGGAGCCCATTCTGTAGCCCCAAGTCGTTCTCCCATGTGGCCGGCCACTGGCCAGTCGTCCTCCCAGGCGCCGCACGAAACCGCAAAGACCCAGTCAGCAGTCGACCTCCCGCGGAGCGAGACATGTGTCGCCCGTGTCCCTTGGTTCGCTTGTGATGCCACATGTTGCACAGAGACTGAAGAGGGTCAGGACCCACTCCAGCATTTTTGTTTTTCTGTTGGTTCACATGTGAGATCCAGCCCAGTGAGTTGACGCATTCTTTTTGGAAGGTCGGGAGTTGAAACTAGATCATTTGAGAACACGGCAAGGAGATGTTTTCTGAGGGAAACCTTACCACCTAGATGCATGCTTGCTACCAGCCGGTGATCTCAGCGGTGCTGTCGAAGCAGAATTCTGCGTTTCATGCGCAGTGCGTGCAGCAGGGGTTCCAAACCGGGGTTGCTGACTCTGGAGTGGGCACCGAAATGGCCTTCTCTTTAAGTCCCTAAAGATGCCAATGTATGCCAATGTGGTGTTCCATGGAGACCAAGCATTTTGTGGTGCCATGATTGAGCCACCTTTCGCATGCTTTCGATCTGCTGCCAAGCCTTGGGGCTTTGAGGAGGAGTCAGCGTAGTCAGCTGAATCACCTGGTAGCAGTGTTCAAGGTGATCCAGGAAGGCACAGTTGGCACTGCGAAGGCCTGCTCAAGTCGGAACAGCTTCTTCACTAAGAGATTCCGTCGAACAGCCAGATGTCCACGGAACGAACGTCTCCGAACGTGCGCAGCGTGCGCCTCCAAGTGACTACATCTTCCCTGCGCATCCCTGCGCCAACTGGTCGATGAAGGTCGAGAGCTCAGCCAGATGGACAGTAGAAGGCCAAAGCCACCACTGAGAGGAATTCTTGAGAGCTCTGGTCCATGCTTTAACACCCGAAAGGTGTTCATATATCAAGTATGATGAAACATGATGTATACGGTGATGTACATACGTAAGACTAAGACTTGAGCTTTCGTTGGCAGGACTGAATGGGTCGATGTACGGGACTGGTTTGTTCTCACCGAGTCGAAGCGAAAGACCCAACGAGCTGCGTCCGCGTCCAATTCCCCCGGCACCTCGTGGCACAGGTCGGCACAGGTCGGTCCGGGGTCAGCTGAGCTGAGATGTCTGCCGATCTCTCGGAGAAAGCCGCAGAAAAGGGAGCCAGCCGGAGACTGATAGGCAGTTGAAGAGAGGCTCAGGTAGGTGATTCCAGGTTGTCTTAGAGGAGCTTTTCTTTTGGCCAATTCTTTGTTTTTGTATCACGATGTATCACGTATTTTTTAAGTCCACGGGCTCAGAATGATGTAGAAAACCAAGACTGATTTGAGAGAGATGAGAACATGGCATTAGGATGTTGGCTCAAGCTGCTGCTTATTTGTCCCACAAATTTGTCAAAAGCAGAAAACAAGCGCGAAACAGCCTAAAGCACCACTGCCCAGCTAAGTCAAAGACAGCATTCACTCCACACTGTGACCAGTTCAGAGTTCAGAGGTTTGCATCTAAGCAGCAAAGAATAGCTGAAACACAATCAAGCATGACAGGGCAACATAATTTGCATCGCTCAGTGTGAATAGACTGCTTCCTGCTAGGGTGATGAAAAGCATTCAAAACTTTGCGGTGGGGGGTACTACCCCCAAAACGGATCTCCAAGTGTCCAAAAGAAATCCATATTATGATGTATTTGGAGGAGGTTCCTCTGTACACTTGCATTTTTCGTTACTACCAGGTGGGTCCCCCATCTTGATATCCCACATAGGGGATCATCAAGCATCTAACACCACCAGACCACCCAATTCCGTGCACGTGTTTTCCAGCAATGATCCGCCCTGGCCGAGGGTCCAAGCGTGCAAAGCTCGGACTTGTTGGCTGCAAGGGTTCGTTTTGTCCACCTCCATCCGGCTCAATTCCCATCTTTGCATGTCTGGAAGTATGCCTACTCCATAGGAAACTGCCGAACAGATTGGGTCTCTCCAAAAGTCAATTGGGAAATCCTCCAAAAGACACTATATGAGTGACTTAAGTGAACGGCCTCTCAAGATGGATAGGAAACGGAAAACCCATCGATGGGCGGACCACTTTGGTGGTTGGAGTGTGCACTCCAAGGCCCCCCCCCAAGACGGCTTTGAAGGCGCCCGAGGCGAGGAGACCGCCGTTCTCACGGGCCCGGAGCGGTTGCTTTGTGCTGCTTTGTGCTCTGGTCGATGTTGGTTCGGAGGTGTGGGGATTCCGGGCGCGGATTCCGAGGCATTTTCTGGTTAGCTGGGTGAGGTTTCTGGGGGCAAACGACCAAAGAGGTTTTCGCTGAACCGGGTCTTGATCTCAACATCACAATGAGCACGCATTCTGTGCTCCGGCAATTCACTGCTAGCTGCTCCCAAGCCGCGGGCCGCGGCATGAAGCCATGACGTGGCATCAAAACCATCTCAAGAATCACCCAAGTCATTGACTCATTGACTCAAACATCCCTTGATGAAGCGGATATGAACATTCCTATGATTGGGAAATATGAATATAAAGAAAGGAATCACATTGGGTTGGGGATTGTGATTCTTGCAAACCTTCCAGTGATGAACTGTTGGCCCCTGACATAAAGCAGACCTGTTGCAGGCAAACCCTGCAGGCGAAGGTTCGCACGGGGGTTGAAGCAGTGGGTTGTGCTGGCACTGTGCATGGGCGCTTTCGAGCGCAGCAGGTGCAGAATTGAAGAGCTGACCCTTTGTTCCTATATATATAGTAGCTTTTTGCTCCTAGTAACAAGGCCAGGAGCCCCTAGTAGCGTCGTTGCTCCTAGTAGCGATGCCCTTTGTTCCTAGTAGCTTCTTGCTCATGTTCTGAGACAAGATTCACAATGTGAAGACCACCCCGGGTTGGAAAAGGACGGACAAATCAACCGACCAACTCGTTTCAGGAGAAAGGTCAACCATTTGGGACTTTTTTTAAGGCCTTGGTCTTAAGGCACCAAACCAAAGCAGCGATGATAGATTGGTGGATGCCAGACTGTTGGGAAGTACCAGTCAGTCTTGTCTGAAAAGCCCTGCCAGCGGGGACATTGGTACATCGTTTTGATTGTGTTTTGACTCATGTCCTTTGGTCCACTGTTGATCTCCTTCGCAGGTGTGACAGATGAACCTCCGTCCTGAGCCGAGAGGTAGGTGGGAATCATATTGAGACCATCCATCCATGTGCAGGTGGGAATGTGCAGAGTGGGTGCACAGGACCGAATGTTGTAACCTCATCTCTATGTGGGACATGTCTCACTTATGTAGAGATGGATCTACATGAAAAATCCAGATGTCAGGAATTGGAGCATGAGCATAGCCTAGCCATCTCGGCTGGCTTTGGCGCTGAGGTCGAAGAAGCGGAAACTCACTGAGGAGGAGATGAAAGAGAGAGAGGCCCACGTGTGACATGAAGCACATGGACTTCTTATTCAAGACGGGAGTACCAGGTCTGAGACCAAACAGGCAAGGAATGGTATGGCGCACGTGACGCGCACGTGACGGAGGTTTTGAGAGGACAGGGCACAGATCCACAGGGATCAACTGCTGTGAGAGTAATGTAGACTCTTGATTGGCTTAAATATGTCCAATCGAATTGGAAATTTGCTTCATATAGGGGGGTTCTTAATCAAAAGTCTACATTAGCAAAAAATGCCCTGGCCTGGCTCCAGTTGGCAAGGCGCGGACGCTCTTCGTGGGCAACGTGCCCTTGGAGTGGACCGAGTGGAGAGCTCAGCAGCGGGGTCATTAAGCCTGGCCGTTTCAGCAGCTTTGGCAGGTTCATTGGAAGAAATTGGGGGGCAAGAACCGTTTGGGCGGGCAAGAACAGCGATCGTTTCCATCAACACAGGTCAACATGTACCTGTTGGTATTTATTTGCTTGAGGGGGACCATACGATTCTTTGTTCCAGGGTGCCCTTCCTATGATCGAAGACTCATGTCCAACCTGGTCCATCCAGCACAGGACGACGAAGTCAGCTGCGTTTGCTGAGGAAAAAGCTGCGGTCAACGATCCGACAAGCCCTCGGCAGCTGCGGCTGCAGTGATGGGAGGTGAGCTGCAGAGAACCCTGCAGGTCTAGAAAGCTGAACCCTCCAGGACCTTCAAAGCTGAACCCCAGCGCGTCGGTTTGCATCGCTGCAGCCTGTCCTGTGGCACAGTGGCTGCTGCACCCACCTTGCCAACATGCAGGGTTTTTTTGGCCGTGGGCCAGGTACTCCAGGTCAGGTCAGGTGATATGTCCATATTTCCCCATAAGGATGTTCGTTTCGTGCTTTCTACCATAGCTCAAGCTGCCAGATTTCAGCTGCATGTGAGCAGCGCATGCTGTCCAAAACACGGTGAAACACCCAAGAACCAGCTGAGAAAGCGGAACGCGTGAGACCGCGTTGCCTGCGAAAGCCAGCGTCGCCTGAGCGTCGCCAGTCTCAACGGTCGATGAAGTCGTTTGTCCTGCTGCCCTCAAGCAGTGCTTTCGGCCCAACTCGGCTGCCCCTTTCTGAGGCAAAAGCTACGAGGGCTCCTTGAAGCAGCATGGCAGCAGGGCTACAAGGGAGAAAAACCGAGCGAGGCTGCCGCGGAAGGCGGCCATGCTCGCTTGAGTGATTGGAGAAAAGGTAAATGTATGTAAATGTACTTGTCAATGGTGTTCAAATTGTTTTATTATGAGGATGAAGCTTGCCAGGTGTTGTTGGTGTGGTTCTCGGATGTGTGTCCGTATTTGTGCAGAGGGGATTCCACAGGTGTTTTCTTGTGGACTTCTTTAGATGGTACTGCGATCCGCCAAGGCCCATTAGGTTTCGATCCATTCCTCTGGAAGAAAAGTGGAGTAAATCGAGCCAGATGCGCAAGGCAGGTTTTGCTTTGCTTTGCCAGCATTTGATGGAAGGGATGGCCACTGGCATTTGTTGTGTAAAGGCAAGGACCTTGTTGGCCAACAGGTAAATCCACTTGTCATCTTGCAGTTCTTACCTTTCATGTAGCGCATGTTTTTTTTCAAGCAAAAGGGGGAAGGGGTTTCGACCGTCCGAGTGTCGCAGGCAGGGCGCATACTTGGGAAGTATGCCCATGGCATGGATTTCAAGAACGCTTATGTGGTCTTGGATGCTCCCCAGAGCGTCCCGATCCTCAGTCCGAGGGTGCGACTCGGCGGTCGCCCAAGGCCGTGGTTTCAAAGGAGGCCCGGATACGGCCTGTACTAGTTTTGCATGTAGAAACAGGCGTTTCGGCCGTAAAGGGTGTATTTTTATGTTTAGATGAATTGGTTGGATTAGCTTTGGTACTAGTTGGATTCCATGGGTGGTTGTGGACCATTGGGGGATGAGCCTTGTCCTAGTGTGACTGCATTGCTACACTGTGGGATTGACATGCAGTAGCTCGCAAATTGAGGGCAGCGAAAGCAAGACCAAGCTTTGGCATCCTTCATATGTGGATCCATATGTGTTCGAGCCTTCAATTTGTCGTGCCAGGTGCCTGTGGTCGCCAAGGCAGTCAACAACCTTGAGGTGGGAGGAAACATGAGGAAGCAAATAATAAGGTGCTGAAGCCACCGATGATCCCTGGATGATTTGCTTATCCCTGGCCACGGATCGTCACATCCCTCGAGAAGGAGCTTCTAAATTGATAGTTCAACCCTGGAACTGATCGAAAAACATGTAGTTTCCAGCTTCATAAGTTCGCTGATCAAAAACGGCAATTATTTTCGGAGGATATTGTCCCAGCTAGGCCAAAATGCAAAAAGAATTCCTCACAACTTCGATTACGCCGTGCTGGACTCGCGGGGACTTGACATTGATCTCGCAACCTGCCATGGTCCTGATAACTGAGATTCCGGCGTCCTTTTGTTGCGAAGAAGCGGATATTGGTAGCGGTACGGCCCGGCCAAGCATTTGCAGGCAGACTCCGAGCACATTCTCAGAGCTGATGGTGTGGGGATGCTCATGAAAACGCATCACAGCATGCCATGCAGATAGAAAGAAAAGCTCAGGATTCGT